AAAAAAAAAAAGGTGAGCAAGCCAGGTTATATGTATTACTAGTATACTAAATGTTCCTAAACAGAAACATTTTAGATCTGCAAAGTTATATAAAGTACAAATATCTTTTCAAAAAACCAATTATAGAAAGAAGAAAAAAAGTAAAATTCCTCTCCATTTTAGGTTTTTTTTTTTGAGACAGAGTCTCACTCCGTTGCCTGGCCAAGAGTGCCATGGCGTTAGCCTAGCTCACAGCAACCTCAAATTCCTGGGCTCAAGCAATCCTTCTGCCTCAGTCTCCTGAGTAGCTGGACTACAGGCATGTACCACCATGCCTGGCTAATTTTTTCTATATATTTTTAGCTGTCCAGCTAATTTCTTTCTATTTTTAGTAGAGACGGAGTCTCGCTCTTGCTCAGGCTGGTCTCGAACTCCTGAGCTCAAACGTTCACCCACCTAGGCCTCCCAGAGTGCTAGGATTACAGGCGTGAGCTACCATGCCCAGCCCATCTTAGGTTCAAATATTCAGAAATTTTGTAGTTGCTACCTTGTATTATTAATTACTTTATGTATATTTTCCCTGTTCTAGTTTGTAAGGGTTGAAAGACAACAAACACAGGGGTAGGGGAAGGCAGGGAAGCAGCTGGAGTGTACACATGCCTATTATGTAATTAGTATTAATTCTCTGTGTGATGTTTTGGGGGCTATGACTTCTCAAAAAGTTAGAACTGTAGTGGGGATGTCAAAAAAGAACTCACCACACAGTTTAATAAGTGCTATAGTAAAAGTAAATACAGGGCATTGTGGAGGCACATAGGAAAGGCACCTAATCCTTCTCTCCATAAATGTTGTGGAAGGGTGCTATCAGGAAGGCTTCTGGGAGGAAATAACACCTATATTAAGACCTAAAAATGGACGCCAGGCATGTAGTGGCTCATATCTATAAACCTAGCACTTTAGGAGGCTGAGGCAGGAGGGTCACTTGAGGCCAGGAGTTCAAAACCAGCCTGAGCAACATAGCAAGACACCATCTCTACAAAAAATAAGAAAAAAAAAAAAATTAGCCGGGCATGGTGGCATGTGTCTGTATTCCTAGCTACACAGGAGGCTGCAGTGGGAGAATCACTTGAGCCCAGGAATTCAAGGCATGAGCTATGACTGGGCCACTGCACTTCGTCTCAGAGAAACAAAAATAAAAAAACCTGAAAAATGAGAAACAGCAGGCTGGGTGTGGTGGCTCATGCCTGTAATCTTAGCACTCTGGGAGGCGGAGGCGGGTGGATCGCTTGACGTCAGGAGTTTGAAACCAGCCTGACCAAGAGTGAGACCTTGTCTCTACTAAAAATAGAAATTAATTGACCAAGTAAAAATATACATACAAAAAAATTAGCCGGGCATGGTGGCGCATGCCTGTTAGTCCCAGCTACTTGGGAAGCTGAGGCAGTAGGGTCACTTGAGCCTAGGAGTTTGAGGTTGCTGTGAGCTAGGCTGACGCCACAGCACTCACTCTACCCTGGGCAACAAAGTGAGACTCTGTTTCAAGAAAAAAAAAAAGAGAAACAGCAATGTCCTTGGAAATACTGATGAGGATTTCTTTCAGGAGCAGAGAACCCACAGCCTTGGGGCCAACAGTAGTCTTCTGGATCTTTGAGTGTGGCCTTTTGACTGAATCCAAATTTCACAGAACAAATCCTTTTAATAAAAGAGTTTATTCCCCATCCCTGGATGAATTCTGCATGGCAGGTTCTCAATAATACAAGGTATAAGGCAGGTATACCTCTTACTTTCACTTTTTTTGGTGGGGGGTGATGTACGGAAGGGGCAAGAGGAAAAGACGAAAAGTGAGTGGAAGAAAGTATAAATGAAAAGACCAAAAGCAGCACAAATTAACAAATAGCATAAACTATGCTTTGTTTTTAAGACAGAGTCTTGCTCTGTCACCCAAGCCAGAGTGCAGTGGTGTGATCAAAGCTCACTGCAACCTCAAACTGCTGAGCTCAGGCAATCTTACCACTTCAGCCTCCGAAGTAGCTAGACTACAGGCACGCACTACCCTAGTCGGCTAATTTTTTCTACTTTTAGTAGAGATGAGGTCTTGGTCTTGCTTAGGCTGGTCTCAAACTCCTGAGCTCAAGCAATCCTCCCGCCTTGGCCTCCCAGTGTGCTAGGATTACAGGTATGAGCCACCGTGCCTAGCCCGAACTCTGGTTTTGACACACCTTAGTTTAAATCTGGAATTCCAACACTCAGAAGCTGTGTAATCTAGGGCAGGTATCTTAACTCTTTAAACCTCAGCTCTCTTATCTGTAACCAACAACAACCAACTCAAAGGGATATATTGTGATGCTAAAATAGGATAATACATATTTGTCTAATTAGTTTCCCTACTAGACTGTAAACTACAAAGGACAGAGGCCATGAATAATATCTTATGTACCATTGTATAGTAAGTCCTTGGCAAAATGCTTGGCATACAGTAGATGTTCAATAAGTGTTGATTATCATTAAGTACTTTATTATGACAACTTCAGTTACAATACCATGACAACAGCACAGCAGTGTAAGTTTGATTATATTCTGAAAAGATCGAAGATTATTAACTGGTTCCTTATTTCATTGTAAAACATTTATAAAATTAATGCTACCCTTCCACTAAAAGTTTTACTAATATTAAGAGCCATAAAGTCTTTCAAATCTGATTAAAAACATCTCCCTAGAGATATTACAGTTAAATCCATACTGCAAGGAAGATGTAAATATAATTGTTTTCCTCTCTAAAGAAGTGTTTCTCAACCAAGGGTGATTTTGTCTCCAAGGGATATATGGCCATATCTAGAGACATTTTTTATTATTACAACTAGGGGGTTGAGAGTGGTATTAAAATCTAGTAGGTAGAGGCCAGGGATGCTGCTAAACATCCTACAAGGCACAGGACAACTCCCACAACAAAGAATTATCTGGTTCAAAACGTCAATAGTGCTGAGGTTGGGGGCAAAGGAATTGAAGGGTAGAAGATAGACGAAGATATAAAATTGCATAAACATTTACAAGTAGGTTTAGTTTAACATTATCAGATTTCATGTCTATTACTGCAATTTAATTTATTTTTCCAAGTTTTGGATTTTTAAAGAGGTTTGAAGGGACTTAAATTTGTTTATTCTAAAATATATCCAAGATTAAGAGAATGATCTCTCTAAAAATTATTTTAGGTCAATGAAAAGACATAAAAACTTTCAAAAGCTCAGAAAAAAAATAATGTGTATAAAGTGATTAATTTCAAGACTTGCAAATAAAATGCTAATTGTTTTTTTAGAAACAGGGTCTTACTCTGTCACCCAGGCTGGAGTGCAGTCTTGCAATTGATCATGGTTCACTGTAACCTCAAACTCCTGGGCTCAAGCAATCCTCCCACCGTACCCTCCAGTGTAGCTGGGACTACAAGGGTACACCACAAAGCCAGGCTAACTTATTAACTTTTTGTAGAGATACACTCTTGCTAAATTGTCCAGGCTGGTCTCAAACTCCTTGCCTCAAGTGATCCTTCAGCCTTGGCCTCCCAAAGGGCTGGAATTACAGGTGTAAGCTATTGTGCCCAGCCAAAGTTCTGATCTTTTATCAGTGTAAGAATGCACAGTCATGTCAAGCTGAAAGAAAAAAAGATGCTTGCAGCTTACATTTTCTACTATTTTGTCAGCACATGATTTTGAAAGTACGAAGCAGATTTAAATGTGTTAATTTTATTCACTCATATATGGATGGTGGGAGGAACATGAGGCAATTTGCCATTTCACTGCCTTTTCTTTGGAACTCTGCTACTTCTTTATTAATGATCCCTACCTTCATGTTATTTCTGATTCAAGTTTTATAGCACATATGAATTAATAACCTATTAAAAACTGTGAGGTGGTGCCACATATGGTAATGCTATAATTAAATTTAACTTACCCAACGGAAATGTAAACATTGGTTACTATCAGAAATGGAATCATCAGGCAGAGGTGGATCTAGATGGCAACATCACAAGTAGTTGATGTTATTTTAATTTTCCATGAGTATCCTTTGGAATAGTATTATCTTTGGTCTCATATTTGAGAAAAATAGTATCATTAAAACAATAAACTGACTTAATTAAAAATGATAAAAATGTTTTCCATATTTGGTGTTTTGGGGCCAAATATACTGAAATTATGACCAAACCAAAAAAAAAAAAAAAAACAACAAAAAAAACTGCCTTAAAAAATTTAATCAATAATTTTTGAAAGAGTTCTAATAAGAAATCCAATTCATGTAAAGCTATTGCTAGAGTCTTTTGGCTGATGTAATAAAGCGGCTTTGTAGAAAGGTGCCCTTAAGGTAAAATAAAATAAAATAAAAAAGTCTACCTTATTTAGGCTAGGGGCAGTGGCTCATGCCTGTAATCCTAGCACTTTGGGAGGCTGAGGTAAGAGGATCACTGGAGCCTAGGTGTTCAAGACCAGGCTGGACAACATAGCAAGACCTCATTTCTAAAAAAAAAAAGAAAAAATTAGCCAGGCCTGGTGGCCATGTGCCTGTAGTCCTAGCTACTTAGGAGGCTGAGTGAGGATCCCATGAATCCAGGAATTCAAGGTTACAGTGAGCTCTGATCAGGCCACTACACTCCAGCTTGGGCACACAGAGTGAGACCCTATCTCAAAAAAAAAAAAAGTCTATTTTATTTGAAGGAATCTTGGGGTCTACTTCTATATTATAAGATACCTTATTTTCCGTTAAAATTCAACAGCAGTTACATAATGTTGTCATACATGCAAATATATGTCTGAAAAGTATAATTAAAATCCTTGACTGCCTGTTAAAATTATTTTTTTGAGCATCATTCGATTTCATACAAAAAGCAAATTCAATTGCTACAGTCCTTCAAAAACATCTGGATAATAATATCAAAGATTCTAAGGTGATATTTTACATTTGAAAAGTCTAGACAATTATTTGTGCATGTGGTATTTCCCCATAGAATTTAACAACTTACAAAGTGATCATACCTCTTCAATACCAGCTATATTATTCACAGCAAGTTTTTTAAGAGAACTCTGAAGCTTCTTGTCATCAGCTGTAGCTGTTCTATGTACCACCTTCTTCTTTCTGCGAGCTGTACCCTGAAAAATAACGAAACAGAAGTGTTAACATGTCTAGCATCTGATAATTGTAATCATGTCTTCCCATGCATCACAATAATCTAACTAAAACCCACACAAAAAACTGACTAAATAGTAATGATTAATAAGACTACTCAGACGTTGTGACTGTCAGCCTAACCCAGATTTCTGAAGGTCAGTTCTAGCCAATTCTTATTCTTATCTATTATCCAGTCTTTATCACTTAAACACAAAACACTGTTTATTAATAAAACACAATTTGTAACTTCAAGACAAGTTAGTGTACTTTATAACAATTTTCAAACATTATAAGGAATGTTTTCTTATAGTACCTACCACCCCCTGCCAATAAACTCTAAAGATAGTCTGAGATTTTGTGAACTATGATATAATTAAGAAGTAAGTGCCTACTGTGTGAGTGTTCTAGAGTCCAAGAATCCAGGAAAGAAAAAGATCAAGTTCTTATTTGAAGGAGCATACATTATAGTCAGAGGAAAGAGTCGATAAACATATAAACAAATTAGATAATTTCAAATGGGATAAGTACTATTAAGAAAACAAAGACAGAACACAGTAAGCAACTGGTTAGCAGTAAAGCACTACTTTATTAGAATGTCCAAGGAAAGCCCCTCTGAAAAGGTGACATATAATGAATTGAGACCCACAACCAGGGCAAGAGTGATCCAAACAGAATAAAACAAGATTGAACTTGTCCTTTCTAGAGAGAGAAAATGGGCCAGTGTGGCTAGAGCAGAGTGAACAATGGGAAAGGAGGAAAACGGAATCAGAAGGATAGGCAAGGGCCAGGGAATGCCATGGACAGGAGCTGGAGTTTATTCTAATTGCAATAAGAAGAAATTGAAAGGTTTTAAGCATAACCGTGACTTCATCTGATTTATTTATGACTGAGGTTGCTGTGTGGAAAACGCAGTCCTATGAGAGATGAGGGCTATGGCACTGGAGATGGTGAGGGGTCAGGTCAGATTCTTATAAGAGACAACATGATTTACTGACCAGTTAAATGTGGGATATGAGAAAAAGAGGAATCTAGGATGATGTTTAGAATTTTGGCCTAAGCAAATTGGTTGAAAATTATACTATTTACTGAGATTCAAAAAGTTCATTTCTAAATTGATACTTTGAAACTCTAAATACATTTTTTTTTTCCCATTGAAAAACTATTTAAAATAATGGATTAAATTCCTGGACCAATATATACAAATGTAACCTAAAGCAGAGCTGAAAACTACCAAAAGCAGCCTAAGTCTTAAGGGTTAAATCTTTCTAAAACTGGTAGCAATAAGGAGAAAGGAATGGTGGTTTCAATCTCTGGGTAACTTCTGCAGTAGTACTCAGAGAATTAGCCTTTTTTTTTTTTATTGAGACGGAGTCTCGCTTTGTTGCCCAGGCTAGAGTGAGTGCTGTGGCGTCAGCCTAGCTCACAGCAACCTCCAACTCCTGGGCTCAAGCAATCCTATTGCCTCAGCCTCCCGAATAGCTGGGACTACAGGCATGCGCCACCATGCTCGGCTAATTTTTTCTATATATATTAGTTGGCCAATTAATTTATTTCTATTTATAGTAGAGATGGGGTCTCGCTCTATGCTCAGGCTGGTTTTGAACTCCTGACCTCGAGCAATCCACCTGCCTCGGCCTCCCAGAGTGCTAGGATTACAGGCGTGAGCCACCGTGCTCGGCCAGAGAATTAGCCTTATAGAGGGAGGCAGGGGTTTTAATCTCAGCAACTCTGGGCAGTAGAAGAGAGCTCTGGCAGCAAAGGCTGTGCTGACATCCAGTTGCTGAAGTATAACTATTTGCATAGATGGTCATTTATTTGTGAAGCATTCCTGACTTGGATAGCTCAGTTGCTTGCTGGATACCTTAACACAAATGATCCTCAAGCACCTCAAATTCAACATGTCTGAAAGCTTACCAGTCCACCAATCTATTCTTTCTATATTTCCTAAGTTTTGTAGCCAGTGGTACCAGAAATCTGCAGGTCATCCCAGACTCTTCTCCATGTTTTTTACCCTTCATACCCTATCAGTCATTAAACTCGTCAATCTCAAAACCCCTAAATTTGTGACCCACATAATAGAGCAATAGCCTCTCTATTTTTCTCCATGCCAAATTTCTACTTCATTCCATTTTCCACAATGCCAGCAGTTACTTTTCTAAAATGGCTGTCATTTCGTTCTTAAAACCATTCAATAGCTGCCCACTCCCTACACGTATAGGATAAAATCTCAAGCTCCTTAGTATGGCATATAAAACTATGATGGAACCCCAAACTACCTCTTCATTTCATTTCCTGCCATTCTCTATCCATTATGTACTCTAATCTAGCTGTAGTAAACTAAAACAAGCCATTCCATTAAGTACCGTGTTATCTCAGCACTGTGTGCATTTGCATGTATGGGAATGACAATCCCCTTTTCACCCTACCTCCATGAACTCTCTCACCTGTCTGCCTAGTGATAAATTTTTGTTTATCCTTTAAATAAAAGCTCAGTGATGACTTCCTTGTCTTCCCTAGGCAAGAACACCTTGTACTTCATTATAACACTCACTGTTCTGCATTGTAATTGTGAGCATGTCTCTCTTCCAAGTGGAGCTGTGTCAGGAGCAGGAAACCTTGACTTGTGCTCAATAAACAGCTAAATGAACACACCAACCACTGGTTTAAAATATGTAAGAGTGATGTGCTGCATCAAGCTCTTCCAGGTATATTCTATGGTTCTTGAATATCCCTAGTTTTTGCATTGGTACATTACATCACACTTGATGCTACAATGTGACTACTGTGGTTACATGAGTGGGTTAATGTGACTCCAGAATCATATAACTGTATCACTATGAAAGAATGAGAAAGTACTAGTTACTTCTTCCCTTCTTCCTCTTTTGTGCCCAACCAGAGGCTATGGTTATTATCATCACTGTAAATGATACAGTGGGGTGTGCTACATAAAGTACTGTCCTACTATCCCTACCTGAGGTCTGAGGTAAGGACTATTCTGTCTTTCCCTTTTGCAAAGATTGTACTGGGCAGAGATAACACTAGAATATTCTCCCTGAGTCCAGCGCCACAGCTAAAGGGAACCAAAGATTTTTGGTGTTCAGAACTAGCTCTTCCTTAGGCTTTAAAGTACATGGAGTAAGAAATCTCATATGCATATTCACCAACATGGTAGGAATTTGTGAGGAAAACCTGGCAATGAACAAAACATACAAACAGCTTGAGTGTCTCCAGTTAAACCTCTTATAAACCTAACTGCACAAGTAGATACATCCGGTCAAGAACAGGTAACCCTAACATTTGGTATGCCCTTTAGGCGAGTCTAACATAATAACAGCTATCATTCATTAAGCATCTACTTTGTGCCAGACACCATGTTAGGCATTTAAAAACACTGCCCTAATCTTCAGAAGCATCTTATGCAGGATTATTTCTCTTTTGCAGATAAGAAAATGGAAGCTTAACAAGGTTGGGTAACTTGCTTATGTCATATAACTAGCAGATGTTAAGAGTTAGGACTCAAACAAAGGTGGCTATTTCCATTGTACCATCATAGAGAAAAGTTTTCTATTTACCTATTTTAGGTCTGGACAAGTTATTTTCAAATTGGAATGTGGTTTGATTTTGATTATTGAAAAGATTTTAGATTTTCCAAGACCACAAGTCCAAAATAATACTATCTGGTTATCATACATTCTCCTATCAATTTTTCTTATGCCACACTCACCTTGCCCCCTATCCGGACCTGAGCCTGAAGTTTGGCTAACTTTTCTTGATTCATGCTGTTGGTAAATCTAGGGGGGGAAAAATAGATTTGTTAAAGTCACTGTTTTACCAAAATTAAAAAACTGTTTATGCAAACAGTACCTTCTGGTTCACTGAGCTTGCAGTATGCATTAACATCATGATCATATTAATACTGCCTATATTCTTAATAAATATTAATAACTAGTTCTAGCTTCATAAACCAGATATTTAAAAAAATCAAAATTAAATTACCATGAGGGAGGCAAATATACAAACAGAAAATAGAATGGGATTCAAAGTCACCTATTTGAAGATCCCTCCTTAAAAGATAATTCAGTTCTCTGACATTCAGTTAAACCTAACCAATTATGAAATCTCTGTAGTCAAGCCAGTTTTTTCCTCCAAAGATTTTTATAGCAAAGAGCTGTTACCAAATGTTATTAGCAAAATATTCAAGTAGATTTTTTTCTCCCAAATCACATTCTGTATTTCTTATAGACCACAAAGACAACAAAAAGAAAAAAAACTGAACAAAGAAGAAATTCAACAATAGGCTATCTAGCTGTCAAGATATCAGGTAGTCCTGTCCTCTATTCAAGGTCAGATGGTATGTTAATGTTGGGGAAAGAGAACCAGATTTCCAGACATTCAGCGTACTCTCCACAGTTCATATGATACCTTGCACTGATATAGTATGTCACACTTTCAAAGACATTCTTGCATACAGGATAAAATGCTTCATTGTACAGTTTAACAAAAACATATGTCTGCTACATTAATACTAAATTTGGTGCAGTCCTATCCACACTCAAGGGAAATTAAGAAAATAAAGCAAAAAAAATTAAAGAAAAAAATAAAAGAAAAAAATACTAAATTTGGGGGGGAGGGAAGGAGACTTAAAACAAGTTTTTTAAAGCTAATCTCAATTTTGAAGACTTGAACATTATAAAATCATGAATCCTAGGCTGGTCAGTGATATTCCTAAGGGAAAAAAGTTCTTAAGTTTAGAATGGGTTATTACATTCCACACTATATAAACAATAAAAGCCAACTTAAAAGTCTTGTTTTACTTGTTCTGTGGATCAACAAATCATTACTGAGAAGTGAGGGAGGGAATAACTGATAGGCTGCTATCAAACCTTCTCTGGCCAATTCTCTAACCCATGTATAATCATCATTCAGATAAAAAAAAATATTGTTTTCTTCATTTGAAAGCTGAAAAAAATAAGAATCAAACTATTTTGTGCTCTGACACCGTACTCTGGCATTAATCTGTATGTATATCTTCTTTAAGCCAAATAAAGTCAGTTCCCAAATAACATTTAGAATTTATGATTCTTCACTCTTTGTTCAGCACCATATCACAATCCTTAAGTAGCTAAAAACTCTTTTATAGGAGGAAGTGTATTTAGAGTCCAAAACAAGAAATCTTAGGTGTGTGCCAATCTTAGCTCTGCCACAGACTTAAATTTGCTGATGTAAATCCCAATCTCTATACTCAAACATCCACAGAAAAGGATCAATATTCACTTTTCTCAAAGGAATGTGGCCATGAAGGTGTAGTAATAAACAAAGAGCTTAAGGATCTCCTGTCACAGAGGTGGGGTTGGGGAGGGGAAGAGTTTAAGGAATTTCTTACAAAAAAAGGGGCTAAGAGGGATAAATGAAAATATATTTGACACTGGGAGCCCCTCTGGGGGGCTGCATTTTGAAGTAACACTTCCCAAGAGAAGAGATGGAGGTTGAGAAGTCAAGACATAAAGAGTCCTGACTTGTTTGAGCCAAAAGCAAGAATAAAATCAATTCTTTAAATCAATGTGTTGATGAAAGAACAGATTCTATTCAGGTGTTCAGGACAACAGAATTGAGAAATCTTGTTCCCAAGGAGTATCTCAGAGAAAAAGGATTTTAGGGAGGTTGGAAACTTAAGGTGGTAGGGGAGGAGGAAGGGAGGTCTTTTCTCTGTTAGCAAGTTGGGGTGAGTGGAATTCAAGTAGGAAAGAGGACTGGACTCAGTCTATGAAAGAGATGTCAAGCTCAGAATCTGGAGTAGGCCTCAAAGATCACTTGGTTTAATTCTCTATTCCTCAACTGACCTTTACTTTATTGTACCCATCAATCGTGTCTTATATGTGAGGCCGTATCAATACTCACTAGCAGCAGGTTATAAATTATAAACAAAACAGTCATCTCTCTCCCAATTTAATAAATTAAGAAATGAGGGCTCAGAAGGGAGAAGTCCTTTTCTAAGCTCAAAAGGGGGAAGTAACTTCCTAAAGCCACATGATTACCGAGTTCTTCACTGGGGACCCAAGGATCTTTTAGCATTCTTCTCGAGGACTCAAGAAAGGGTGAAAATAATGAAGTTCACCTGTATTTATTGAGTGACTAAATTACAAGCATTGTAGTGGGCACTTTTACATCCATGTTTACACAGAGCCAAAAGTAATTTCAACCTTTAGTCCCTACTTTGTATTTTATGCAGGGTTTCTCTAAGACAAGCACAGGCTTAGGCATCAGAAAGACCACTAAAGGCTTCGGAAAGATTTTACTCTCTGAACTTGTATTACTCCTGCATTAGGAAAGGTTTAACGCCACATACTTCATAGAGTTGTTCTGAGGGTTAAATTAGATTAGGGCATAGCTCACAGAAGATACTCAATAAATGGTAACTATTGTTACCACTCCCGAGGGGACAGCTATGGTAAAGTGAAAGAACGTGGGAACGGAAGTTGAAACCGCCATTCACTAGCTGTGCAACACTGTGCCTGTCGGTCAAACATCGGGCAGTGTGAGGGGGTTTGGAAGTCAATATCTCAAAAGAGGCAGACTTGTAAACAAATACTGCCATTACAAGGTGAAGAGCGCTGCAACCGAGTTCGGGCTGCAGAGCTTGGGATGCTAACCTCAGTTTCCCTATCTGTAGACCGGGAGGATCAAATGCGATGACAACAGGGTGTATTAAAGCTCAAAGCTGACGACACTGCTGTAAGTAATGGGACAGAGAAGGGGCGCCCGCCGCCTCCTGGGACTGGATCCGGGCGGCAACAGCACGGGCCCGCTCGCCCACACAGGGGGCGGTGGTGCTGGGGACCTTCCCTCAGGTGCCGACCCCCAGCTGCGCCGCCGGTAACCGACAGGCCAAGCCAGCCGCCTCCGCCCCCACTCGCCGCGCCACGGCGGAAGTGGCAGCCCGAGCGGTTGGCAGGTATTGGAAGAAGAGGGCGGGGGGAGACCGTGCGCAGCGGCCTATGGCCGTGGAGTGGCGGGACCGCCGGGGGTCTCACCTGAAGCAGGGAGGGTCCTCCAACACCAGCACGCGGCAAGAGCAAGATGGCTGCCTCAGACGAGACAGAGAAAGACGACGGCGGCGGAGGCAGCGGCGGGAGCAGGGCGCACGTGACACAGCCGGCCCCGCCTCTCCTTCTCCGGAGTGGCCTATCCCGGGAGCGCATACTCGAACTACAAAACCCAGCGTGCTCTGCGCACCCCACTATTTCTATTGACGGCAGGTGCAGGTGGCCGCGCTGCATCCTGGAGTTTGCAGTCTTCCGAGCGTTCCATTGTGTCTGTGCCTGTAACTTGTAGGGAACCTAATAAAAGGGCAGTGTGTTTTTGTTTGGGTGTGTGCTTTTGTTCGGATGCCTTTTCACTGTGCATTAAGTACGCACTACAGGACTGAACTAGTACCAGTTGGAAAGAAAGGAAATTTTGGCATGTTTGTTATGCAGCAGAGGGGGAAAAAATGGGAAAAAATACTTAACGCACACACACAAAAATATATTTAACCAGAAGCAGCTTTACACGTTAAATGCCTGCAGTGACTTATGTCCTGGTGTCCTAAATCCACATAGGTCAGTTTTGCAATAAGAGGCCTCAAGTTAGATTTTCTCAGAGCTTGCATCAGTTGGTTGCATCATCCCTGAGTGGAAATACTGCAGTTGCAAAGAAACATAAGGTCCTGCGCTGCTTCTCCAGTGGGAAAGGGCATGTCTCCAAGGCACAAGACCGAGCACCGCAGGTTGCCAGGTTTCGTCGGAGACCTGACCAGGAACCTAACAATTAAATCCAGCTGTCCAGTCTTTTTTAATTGTGGAGGGGTAAGGGGAATCCAAGGCCAACGGGTAACCCGCCCTCCGTTGTGAGCCTCAGACTTCTCCAATCAATAATTTGCATTTGAATACTGAGACCTAGAGCAGCGGTTCGGGGGGAGGGGCGAGACTGGGTGGCGGAGGCCGCCTTCAACGGTTTTCTCGAACCTTTCCCCCGCCCCCACTGTCTTGGCCCAGCTTTTCCTGCTTATTCCCGGGACCTAGACGTCCAGAATTGGAGAAAAGCAACTCACACTCCAGACCAACTCCAGTAACCCTTCTACGTGATCTGCACCTTTAAACTCACCCCCTTCCAAGCCGGACCCCGGAGGCACCACCCACATCCGTCTAACATCACTTCCTTTAGAGTTTGGGGGAAAAAAAACACCTGGGAACGCGAGGGGTTGGGTTCAGCCGCGTTTGGGGAGCTGTACGGACCTTCTGCTAGGACTCCGGCCCTGTGTCCGCTCAGCCCAGTGGCCCCGCGCACCTACTACAATGGAGCTGCAGCCTCGTCTCGGGGCCACCTGTTTGCTGGGCTTCAGTTTCCTGCTCCTCGTCATCTCTTCTGATGGACATAGTGGGCTTGGAAAGGGTCAGACCGCGTTCTTATCTTGATCTTTACTGTTCCTGGTCCCTAGCCCAGTATAACCCTCTTCTTGCCCTAACACCGCTCCCCTACCGTTCTATCTCTTGGGCTACTCCAGATTTCTTTTTATCTTCCCCAATCGTTCCTGGATTTTGAAGATTTCTTGGGGTGGGGAGTACCGGGTCTGGCGAATGTTAAAAAGGGGGAAGTTGGCCGGGCTCGGTGGCTCAAGCCTGTCTGTAAACCTAGCACTCTGGGAGGCAGAGGCTGGAGGATCACTTGAGGTCAAGAGTTAGACACCAGCCATGAGCAAGAGCGAGGCTCTGTCTCTACTAAAAATAGAAAAAATTAGTGGTGCGTGGTGGCTCGCGCCTGTAGTCCCAGCTATTTGGGAGGCTGAGAAAGAAGGATTGCTTGAGCCCAGGAGCTTGAGGTTGCTGTGAGCTATGCTAATGCCAGGGCACTCTACCCCAGGTGACAGAGCAAGACTCTGTCTCAAAAAAAAAGGGTAGAGGGAGAGTTGTACTTCAGACCTCTTTAAATTTATGGTTGGGTTGGGGGAAGGAATGCCTGTAAATTAGGAAAAACATGTTTAAGAGCCCAGCTTGGTGCCTACCACGTGGTAATAGGTCTTCAGAATGGTCACCTTCCCTCCTCGAAGAAATAGGGCCTTTGGGGACCAGCATATGCAGAGACTTCTGCTCTGAGTCTGAAGGTTCCTCACCTCTTCCTTGAAGAGTTAGGTTACTGCCCCCACATTGCCCTTGGGAAATAGCAGCTGCATCGCCCGAGAAGTGTTTGGTGTATGAGAAATGGCCTCACCAGCTCTTTCTTAGTTGAAAATTGGATTGATTGTCTGTGAACTCAGTTTGTGCTTTTCTAAGTAGTTGAGTTGTAGCATGGATCCCAACCTCCTATTTTTTTTTTTTTTTACTGACCTTACTATTGAATGATTCTGCTGCAGTCCTGCTCTTTTTGTTTTCTCTTATCCTCCCTATTTGCACCTATGAGATTGGGTGGACATGCAGTGTACCTGAATGCAATCACTCCTTCATTCAGTAAATAATTTTGATTACCTATCATATTTCAGGCACTATCCTAGGCATTAGGGATATAGTTATGAGCAGGACAGGACAAGATTCCTGCTGTCATGGAGTTTATATTCAAGTCAGAGAGACAGTGAACTTATGAACAAATTAATAAAGATGACAGTTTCAGTGAGTGATAAGTACTGGGAAGAAAATAAGACTGTGATGGAATAGGAAGTAGAAAGGCTGGGGAGGATGAGGGAGCTGGCATCATTTTAATTTAAATTTTTTTTTTTTTTTTTGGTAGAGATAGGGTCCTGCTGTGTTGTCCAGGCTGGTCTTGAACTACTGGCGACAGGCAGTCCTCTTGCCTCCATCTCCCAAAATGCTAGGATTACAGGTGTGAGCCACCACACCTGGCCTGGAATGTTTTAAATACTGACAATCCCATTTTAAAACAGACTGTGTACTTAGAGTAAAACTGTAAGTACTGAGGGAAACAGAAGCGTATAGTGTTAGGAATGTGGGTTTAGTTCTGAGTTTTAATTTGTTCTACCACTGACCAGCTACGTTGCTTGGGGCAAGTTTCTTAACCTCTCAAAGCCTCAGTTCCTCATCTGCAAAATGGACATAATAATAACTACCTCAAAAACTCAACAAATAATTTACTCTGTTCCAGTTAATGTGTTAGATGTAGGCAATACCTTGGAGTCAGGTATTTAATATGTTTATTCCTTGTTAGACGTTAAGTTCTGTGTGGTTTTTCCAGTTACATTACTGTGTAATAAACCACCCCAAAATCTAGTGGCATGAAGAAATCATTTTATTTTGCCCACGATTCTGTGGATCAGGAATTTGAACAAAACACAGTGGAAAGGCTTGTCTCTATTCTATGATGTCTGCGGCCTTAGCTCAGTTACCGCTCCATGTGATCTTTCTGTAGGGGCTGCTTTGAGCTCTTTCTTATAAGGCAGCTAGATTCCAAGAGTGAATGGCACAAGAAAACTAGGTGGAAATGCACAGCATTTTTATCATCTAGCCTTACAAGTCACATAACATCACTTGCGCTGAACTATGTAGGGGCAGGTTCAAGGGGAACGACATTAACACCCCCACCCTCAATTGGAGGTATGTTGAGGTCACATTGTAAGAAGAGCATGTCTACCAGAGGGATCCAGGATTATTTCTGTCTTGTTTATGCTCAGGAATATTTGTTGGAAGAAGAAATGAATGATAAACATGATTATTGTGATCCCTGTCTTTTTCCAGCCTACAGTCTGGTGAGATATCAAGACAAGTAAAGAGGCAATTACATGACAGGGTGGTATGTACTTTGAGCAGAGGAATACGGGGTAAGTGTAGGAACACATCATAGAAGGGCAACTTAGGGCAGGGGAGCTGGGTTGTGAGGATTCAATGAAAAAACAAAAGGTACTTAATTGCCTGTATCCCATTAGAGGCAAAGAAAAAAAAGGTTCTTAATATTGTGTCACATACTTAGAAAGTATTTAGTAAATGTTAATTGATATTATTTTCTCCCATGGAGAAATATTTAATTATTTCTAAAGGGAATTAATAATATTTCAAACTTTTATATATCTCTTGGGTATAGATTCTTGGAAAATAGATTATACCCTACCCACCTACTTCCCAAAAAAGTGCTACCCAAGGCAGTTGTTCCCGAAAATATTTTTTTTTTTTTTTTTTGAGACAGAGTCTCACTTTGTTGCCCGGGCTAGAGTGCCATGGCATCAGCCTAGCTCACAGCAACCTGAAACTCCTGGGCTCAAGTGATCCTTCTGCCTCAGCCTCCCCAAGTAGCTGGGACTACAGGCGCGCACTACAACGCCCAGCTAATTTTTATGTTATTAGTAGAGATGGGGTCTCACTCATGCTCAGGCTGGTCTTGAACTCCTCACGTCAAGTGATCCTCCTGCCTTGGCCTCCCAGAGTGCTAGGATTACAGGTATGAACCACTGTGCCAGACCCTAAAAATCTTTATGAGAGGGATTTCTTCCCAGATGTTTAAGTAGCTCTGAGTCTTTCCAAAAGATGGCCTGGTGGTTTGCAGAGAAGGGAGGCTGATTCCCACAGGTTTCATTAAGATGAGGAAGCACAATGGTATGGAGTGTGCAGTAAATATTAATAGGAATTAGGAGGCCTGAGTTTTAATCCTGTTCAGGCCATTTAGCCAGCTCTGGTCCTCCATGGTGACCATTTATTAAATGACAAAGTTGGACTAGAAATGGTTCCTAAGAGTCCTACTAGCTCCAACATTCTGGAGTTCTAAAATAATTTCATTGTATTCCATGGGCTAAAAATTTGGAACACATCACCTATGGGGAGAGGTGTAATGAGCAACATTTACTGTACATTTACTATCTTCCAAGTGCTGTTATGTGCATTTTTTTATTTATTGACTGGTTTAATCCTCATAATAACCCTATGAGGTGGCTAATATTTTTATCATTATCTCCATTTCATAGATGAAGAACCTAAAATGAGGCACAGGAGTCACACACTTAGCAAGCAAGTAGACTAGCTGGAATACAAATCCCAGAGCCAGTCCCTTTAACCAGTACATCACTCTGGCCTCTCAGTGCAGAAACTTCTCTGGAAAGTTTAAAGGAGAAATTAGAAAGTTGTCTTTAGGGGCAGTTCATGTGCTCTTCTGCCTGAAACAGAAATGGATGATTCTGTCAAGTCTCTGGAGTAAAAAGTTAGCATTAATATGGATGAAGTGTTTACCTTAATATTTGCCTTCCACACCATATCCTATCACAACTCTATGGGATAGATATTTTTGTTAGCCATATTTTGCATTTGTGAAAACTAAGTGGCTGAACAAGGATTCCAATTTAGATCTGTTTGACTGAGACAAAGATTATTTAGCCATTATATTATTCTACCTGTCAGGTATAGTGTTCCCTGTTTTAGACACTTGGTTGCCAACTCTGTCACTTAACCTTTCATTATTTAGGTTTCTTGAGCTGAGAGGAGGTGGATAATACTTTTCTGATGTCTTTACACTCATTAAAACTATTTTAAAATGAAGCTTGGAAATTATTATTTTTTTTTCTGAGACAGAGTCTTGATCTGTCACCCCAGATAGAGTGCAGTGGCATCATAGCTCACTCTCAACCTCAAACTCCTGGGCTTAAGCGATCCTCCTGCCTCAGCCTCCCTGAGTAGCTGTGACTAGTAGAGATGGGGTCTCGGTCTTGCTCTTGACCTCAAACGATCCTCCCGCCTCCCAGAGTGCTAGGATTATAGGCGTGAGGCATCATGCCCAGTCTGGAAATTTGGATGTAAATGCTGTGTTTAGAAATGATTGTTTTTCCTTTTTATTTTTTAAATTAATGTTTTAGGGAAAGAGCTACTGATATAGGAGATGTTAGTTTACAGATAACTGGCATAAATCAAGTGGCTATGCAGGTGATACCTTAGGAAACTAGGCTGTCTTCAGATTTCCATGTTGCATGGGTATGAGTATGGGTGGTGCTGGGGAGTCGATGATTTTAGTAACAAGGTAAAAACTGTACCTTTTTAAGTTCTTTTTGAAAGAGAAACAAAAGGACCCAAGTTTCCAGATCTTAAGTTAGTGTTCTCATTCCGCTTTGGTGAAGCTGCATTTATGCATTTAATCTTTGCTAGAGAGACAGTAAAATGTAGTGATTGGTTCTAACTACAGATCTTGGAACTCAACCACCTAGATTCTAGTTTCAGCTCTGCCACTCACTGACAATGTAACCTTGGGAAAGCTATTTAACTTCAACTTCCTTATCTATAAAAAGGTGATAATTAGAGTTTCTACTCATAAGGTTATTGTGAGGATTAAATAATACGTCTAAAGCATTAAAAATGTACCTGGCACATAGTAAATGTCATATAAGTATTAGTTATTAATATTTGTATCATAATATTTTCATTATTACATAAAGTAAGCACTCAAATGATGGTGGTGATTATTACTATTAT